TTGACAATTCCAGACGCCCACGGAGAGAGCGAGTTGTGAAATAGCAGATACATGTATTGAACGAAGGTTGTGAGGATTACGCCTGCAGCGTGCCTCCCGTGTTTTGCGAGTGTTAGTAACAACAGGAATTAGTAAACACATAATAAAAGTGCAATGAAAACAAAAATAAGTGTAAAGATAAAGTAAAACAAGAAAGTAAAGTACTCAAGTGCTTTGTCAGTGTCTTTGCTCGGTGGAGTCGATGGCGCAGGTAGAGTCGATGGCGCAGGTAGAGTCGATGGCGCAGGTAGAGTTGATGGTCTTTACACTCGTCGGTCTTCACACGAGGCGGTCTTCATACGAGGCTGCCGCGGTGAGACTAGTTGCTTATATACACCCCAGAGCACTAGCTGATTGAATTCAGCTGGACACGCCTCGAGAGTAAAAACAACGCCCGACACTGCGGCGGACGGCGCAAAACCGTCCACGTTCGACACACAAGCTCTTATAGTAACCAAGGAAACAGTGGCTTAACACTTCTAGTATTATACACAACTGAAAACAAGTTTAAATGTCCTAAAACTTTACACAAACAGCTGAAAACAAGTCCTCAAACCAATATTATATATATATATATATATATATATATATATATATATATATATATATATATATATATATATATATATATATATATATATATATATATATATATATATATATATATATATATATTATTAATACTGTCAAAATTAATGCGTTAATGCATGCGATTAATTTGAAAAAATTAAAATTTAAATTTTTAATAATTTAAAAAAATAACGCAATTGTAACATGAAATTAGCTCATTTTATGAATATTAATAATCAACAATAACGGTTTATTCTTAATTATTAATGTTCCAGCTTAAGCTTCAGTCAGCTTGGTCAAACCAACATATGATTGTAAATGATCATGCTCGCGCGACCGAGCGGATTCCCAGATTATGAATATTAATTATCAACAATAACGAATTATTGTTAATCATTAATATTCCGGATCAATTTATTGTTAATTTGACCAAACAAACACAAGCAGAGCAGCCGCTCTTCCGAGCGGACACGGTAATCTATTCATTTAGAACAAGGGAATTTAATTGCTACTTCTTGTGAAGTAGATTAATCATTCAAAAGTTTTAAACAACTTATAATAGCAAGGCAGGGGAATCTGTATTTCAGTGACATTTTCTCGTGAGGCAAACAATACAATTCATTTGATGATAATGGAATTTATTGACTAGTCAGACGTAACGAACAAACAAACACACAAACATACATTAAACACAAAACAAAGGTAAACCACGTGGAGATATCGGGTCTATAGAACGTGTAACAGCAAAGAGACAAAGTAAAGCTTGGAATTATAGATTTCAGGTAAAAAGTGACAAAACTTTCAGTTCCACACGCACCATTAAGGACCACCAAGGTTATAAAAAACACCTTTTTGATAAAAGGGGCACAGCTTAATCGCATAACTAAAATCACCTGGTTTTTCATGTCTGGAGGTCTCTTTTATGCGTCTCTCTTCCGTCGTGATGAAAACTACTCTTGATGTCCTTTGATGCGTGGAGTTTGTAATGCAGTTCGGACGAACACGATCGCAAACTTTAAACTGAATTTACTTTGCCGGAAAATAAAGAAAGCGTGGCGGGAAAAAGTCCATGCGGCTTAGAAAGCCACGTGTGGCCCGAGGGCCACCGTCAATGATGTTCCTTTTTGGGACGTTCTCTTTCTGCGCAGATGTTTGGGGGGAAGTGTGCTTATACCTGCGGGTCACGTGACAACCCGTACAGCATTCTGACCAATGATTTCAGGGGAAAGTTTGCGCGCGAACCTTCCTTTGTCTCTGGGCTGCGCGTATGCAAATTTGAGCGTCCGCCTAAAGCATGCGGACAGGCATTTAATACAGGGCTTTAAAGAATAAAGCAATGCGAGTTATGGTCTCGATCTATGCATCATGTGTTGTAAAATGTCAGCAGAAGCCCATTGGTACCAAACATGGGGGGGTTGAAAGTACCTCAGCATAATTTTTCATATCCTTACAATATTTATGCTTTACAAAGGCCTACATGGAACATGCATACAGGTTATAAGAGAGGTTACACAGGTAAGAAAGGTCAGAAATGAGATACAAAGTTTACAAAACATAACACATTGGTTTTGTGCTGGTTCTGGATTTGATGAGTTCATTTTCTTTCTGTCGGAACAGCCTCGTGGGGGTGTATGTGTGAGGGTATTTGGAAAGGAATGTCTTTAAAGTTTTCCTGCTTATCTATCCAGGCCCCCTGAACAACTTAAGCTGTCACGAAAATCCAGACTTCTTGGAGCCAGGAGTCGTAAAACCGTTCTGTCGGATCGTGATAAAATCAATAAGAAATTTTCTCTGTGGACTGTACGCTACACAATTAAAGCCGTTGCAGGTTTTTTTTGTTGTGGTGGACGTGTGTTCAACATGCAAGAAATATGGATAAGACCAAGAAAGCACTTTTTGAAGGCAAGTTTAAGTATGAAACAATTAGTCACATCACCAGGCTCTCCAGAGTTTCATGAAATTTCGGGTGTTTCATTTTTAACTTTCGACTTCTGTTTTAATGTAATATGATACCGCATGGTGAACAAAAAGAAAAACCTCCACATTTCGTGACTTAGTGGTCCTTTAAGATAATCAAATCACTGCTTACACGGTAGACTTTTAATAAGAGTATAATCTTAATCATATTAAAATCAGAGTATTGGTGTCTTATGTAAATGTACTTAGAAAGTCTCTGGTGAAGTCGCGAGCCGTTAAAGACAGCGCATTACTCTGCCTTTCAGATTGAGCTCTCCAAGTTTAGCGTGTTTCCTCATTAAACGCAACGAAAGCTTCGCATTGTTGTATCAGAATCCTTGTGAAATGCAGCCATACTTTAGAATGTTTAGTTTAAGCAAATTTGATGATGTGTGTTGAATCTGAAGGGAGACGCTCCAGCGCGTTGTGTGTGTGTCTTTGTCAGGTCTGTTGAGGAGTGTCAGGGGTTAAGTGAGCGACGTATCGAAGTAGAGGCGTGCGCGCGCGCGCGAGACGTACCTAAAGAGTGGTGGAGGTGAGTTGCGCGCAACACACCTGAAGAGCTAGGAGGGATGCGGTGGAGAGGGGTGTGCAACGTATTTAAGGACCGAGCGGGAGACGCGCGATTTCAGGGAGATTATCATTCATTTCTCTGTGCATTTGCCGGATACTCCTAGTCTTAGCAACTGGATGAATGTAAAGGAGGACTGAGCAAAATTGTTTCTACCTTATAATTAATGTTCTCAATTCACAGCAAAACAACTTTACAATGAGTGCAACTGTTTGTATCCAATAGTTTATTATTATTATTGTTTTCCAATTTCCATATCTGCAACGCCTGTATTTTGGCATGTTTTTGCAGTCCACTTAGAATACAAACGTGGAATTCAATGTTTTTTTATTGGCATTGATGGTTTTAAAATTCAAAGGGCATTAACATGCCTGTATTTTAATTTCTGTAATAAATATGGCTGTCAAGCCAGGATCTTGAAGATTTATTGTGGGTATGTTGCTTACATGAAGAAATCTGTGTTAAAAGTTAAACTAAAATTCTAATAAACAATTATATTTTGAATTTAAATAGTTTTTGTCTTGCGTTTACATTAATTTTACATTTGAATAGCCAAAATTACAAGTTTTAAGTATTATAAATGCGATTAATTGCGATTAATTTAAAAAAAAAATGTGAGATTAATTAGTTAATTTTTTTTAATCGATTGACATCACAGATCTCTCTTTTAAAGTAATATTTTCTACAGAATGTGCAAAAAGCAAAAGCAAAATTTTGAATTTTGGACTAATCTAACAAAAAATAATCTGAACATCACAGTGCAAAAATGTGTACACCTAAATTAAAATGTTGAGGGAAAATATTAAAGAAAATTTTAATAAACAGGAAAGAAAATCATCAGAAACAAAGAAATATAAAATTACTATTAAGTGAATATAGAGTTTTCATCATTATTAAGCGGTTAAGTGAATTCAAATGGCATCAAAATACTGAACTTGAATGTTAATATTACCTTGATTAAGCTTGAACTTGACTTAGCCTGAGAGTTAGCCTGCCCTGGACCAGGCTAGTTTCCCAGCATAAGGTGCCAGAGTAACCGAGTTTGAACTATCGTAAATTTGATTTATGAAACCAAATCCGCCATAATAAACCTGACTTACCAAAATAAGCCTGGCTCATTCTCTAAGCTTGGTTTATGGAACAGGCCCATGACATTGTCACTGAGAAAAAAAAAAAAAAAGTTTTGAGTCACTGACTGAGCATAAAATTCAAACTTTGAACATAAGATACTAGTGCATGGGTGTATTCAATATATTTATAAGATATGATATAGTTACATAATATTGCAAACAAAATTAAGTTTTGCAATCATCAGTCATGATCATGATTGCAATCACTTGTTTTAAAGTAAATGGCTCTTTTGAGCAAATTGTTTGAACAAATGATTCAGCGAATCAGTCCTTAAAGAGTCAGTTTACCCAAAAATGCAAATGTCCTCTCCATTTACTTGCACTCAAGTGGTTTTAAACTATTAGGAATTTCTTTCTTATGTTGAACACAAAAGAAGATATTTTGAAGAATGCTGTAAGCCAGCAGCCACTAACGTCAACGGCTCCTCCTTTACAACATTCTTTAAAATACCGTCTTTTGTAGTGAGTCAGGTTTAGAAGATATTCTGGATGACTAAATTATAACAGAATTTTGCATTTTTAGTGAATTATTAATTTTAGACAGGGACTTGCTGCCACATACAGCTTGTTTTAGTTTCAAATTTAACCATCTATGACTGACATAAACAGCTAACTAGCTACTAGCACAAAAACCACAGTCGGCAAAACATTGTTTAATTATCTTTATTTGGAAAAAAATTCCAAATGCTGTCAGGAGAGTTCTAATAATGTGCTTCTGGTGTTGTGCTTTGCAGGCACGAGCTGCCATTTGATCGGCACGACTGGATTGTTGACCGTTGTGGAAAAGAGGTCAGATATGTGATCGACTACTATGATGGAGGCCTGGTGTCCAAACACACCATCCTCGATGTGCGTCCAGCCTTCGACTCTTTAGGAGCCGTTTGGGACCGTATGAAAGTGACCTGGTGGCGTTGGACCTCAACATAAACTTACTGGACATGAACTGTTGGATAAACAGGAACTATTATTTATAACCAAGTCTGTGGAAGGTTTTTTTTTTTTTGCATTTGGAGTCAGAATGGCTTACTTATATTCCTGTGATGGATCCATTAGGTGAAAATTTTGAAACTATTTAATAAGAATGTGGCACTATGTGCTATTGCAAACTGCATCATGTAATAAACAGGAAATGCTGTTAATCTTATGAAGGTGTTCTGGTATACATTAGGAAATGCACAGTTTGTTTTTTAGAATCTATAGTTGGCAAATCAGTGCTGCTTTATCATAAGGCATCCATAATATTAACAATACAGAGTCAAGTGGCTGTGTAAATATACACAAAATCTGATAGATACAAGTTTTTCTTCATTTACTACTCTTTTCTCAGACCAATTATATTTATTTCTGACATAAAGTTAGTTAAAACAATTTATTGTAATGCTCATTAAAATATTCACACTTTTTTGTTTAAAACAGAATATAAAGATGTAATATTTTGGAAATTGAGTGGATCATTTGGAATTAAGTGGACATTGGTGCTTACTCTTTAAGTTCACTACATTATTTTATGCTGTTCACAATAAGCTGAAAGAATGTAAATATTGTTAAATAAAATAAAGGTCTGGCTTAACTTAAAATGTGCCAGATACTACTATTGTGCCATGTACTTTTCAAAATGTAAAAATAAAACAATAGTTTAAATAAAAAGAAACATTACTTTATAAAGAAACCCACTATTAAATCCCCCTATTCCCCCATGTTTTAATTTTACAAGAAAATTTGTTCATTCAATTTGCTTGCATTTTGCAGGGTTAAATTGTCAGTGCTTTCATTTGATTACAATAGATCCATAAAATGCCATAACTGCCATCAATAATTATCTCTATGCTCTTTTTTCATATATATATATATATATATATATATATATATATATATATATATATATATAGGGGAAAAACCATGAGTCCTGAGGGGTATTGCACAAAAGCAAGGAAAAATGTGAGTTTCAAGCTATCCCAACTGAATTTAGCCCTGACTCAGTTGAAAGTCGTCTAAAGTTTCTACTGAGATTTATTCTTTGCTAATTTGTTAATTAGTTTCGCCTCTGCATGTGATTCTGTTAAGTCTCTGAATGAAAGTAATGGGAGGTCCCAGATTAGAGGGCAAGAGGACCCTTTTTTAACTTGATACCTGATTGGCTGACATCGTGTTTAATCCATATTTCCATCCCTGATTCTGTGACAAATGTTGTGGTCTTTAAGAATGCCATGACATGAACGTGCAGTTATCCTGGTTATCTACATCAGGCTTAACATGACAGCATGTTCTCATACTGGATCAGCAAATGTCCAATGGACTAAGTCTTTAGGAGCTAATTGAACTAGATCAAGCCACACTTTTCTGTTCTCCTGGCTACTTTTGTGCAATATCGCTCCTCTGTTCGATAATTTCTCTCTACTCCTGTGATGACTGTGGTTCTGCAAACTTTATCTGGATCTGCAAACTTTATGATCCTGGTGTTGGTCTGAGAGCACATGAACCCAGGATGCTCATTTCTCAATCCCGAGCTCCATTTGTAAAGTTTGCCGGAGGTTCTTCAAATCACACTGATGTCCATCTTGTCCACCATAAACATTCCTCTCAGAGAGTTCTTTTTAAGCTTTAAGTTTGAGTCGTGGTGTCCTTTGTTTTCTGTAGAGTTTCCTGAGCCAGAGCCAGTTGCAGCTGTTTTGATTTCAGAGCTCCCCTCTCAAAATCCTTAGTCACAAAGTTTCCATCTAAAGTTGATCTGATCCTAGATCTTTCTGGAACGCTCCATTATAGGATCTTTTTAAGTCCTCTGTGTTTCCCTTTGAAGCTGAAGAAGTTCCTCTAGAAATAAATCAAACCTGTGTGGAACATTACAAATAAATTGAGATACACTATAAATATATACAGTTGAAGTCAGAATTATTAGCCCCCCTTTACATTTTATTTATTTATTTATTTTAAATATTTTTTCAAATTATGTTTAACAGAGCAAGGACATTTTCACAGTATGTCTGGTAATATTGTTTCTTCTGGAGAAAGTTTTATTTGTTTTATTTTGGCTAGAATAAAAGCAGTTTTAATTTATTATGAACCGTTTTAGGGTCGAAATTATTAACCCCTTTAAGCAATTTTTTATTTAGCTCTCTACAGAACAAACCATCATTATACAAAACTTGCCTAATTACCCTAACCTGCCTAGTTAACCTAGTTAAGCCTTTAAATGTTACTTTAAGCTGTATAGAAGTGTCTTCTTGTCAAATAATATTTACTTTCGTCATGGCAAAGATAAATAAATCAGTCAATAGAACGTAGTTATTAAAACTATTATGTTTAGAAATGTGTTGGAAAAAAAATCTTCTCTCCGTAAAACGGAATTTGGGTTAAAAAATAAACGGGTCTAATAATTCTGGGGCTAATAATTCTGACTTCAACTGTATATAATACCAAACAATGTATAAGGCAAAAATACACACTACAAATACTAATAATAAACATTGTGATACAGAGGTGCAGGAATGATATCAAAACCCGAATAATTCACTGTGGGATTCTTTGGGTTTTTTCTGTTTATAAGTAAAACAACGTCTGTGGTAAACATAACTTGATGATACTTGAACTTTTTTCTTTAGAATGGAAATTAGATATTGAATTTTTGAATAAGTTGTATTTTAAAGGTGCCCTATAAAGGAAATCTGGGTATACCTAGGTATGGTCAAATAATAGGAGATCAGATGGAAATGGGCATATCATGAGCCTCAGACACCATTGTTTTCTCATTCTAGTGCAAATTCCATGAGTGTAAAACCAAAAATGTCAATCAGAAAACAAAACAGACTGTTGCATGACTCACAGGGCACCCCCTTAACATTTTTAAAATAAAACGTTTTAAAAATAGCGGAGAAAAAAACTTGCATTAAGCAAGACTTGCCCAAGGCCCAAGACTTGCATTAATAATAGAATATGCGATCTGCTTACTCACAGACACAAGTGACTGGTAACAAAATTACACTTGAGTAAGGCTTTAGACACTACAGTATTTCTAAAAACATTTTAAAATAAGCAGTGCAGTGCCTCAGGACTGTCACCTAACAGCTTAATATAAGCTAAATACATCTGCTTATACACTGGTCACAGTTCTTACTCTAACTAAATGCTAAATCTTTTAGTTATTTTTTAAATTGGAAAGCTGAATACAGTAAGTTCTTTATTTGCATGTTTTTTTTCTAGAATTAATTTTGAGATGAATCTCTTCACTGTGATTCTGCTTTGTCTGTGATGAATTATTAAATCACTAACAAAACCACATCAAATATGTAAAGAATGTTTATTTGTGTTCTGTACATTGATGACATGTTAGAAATGCATGATATTTATAAGTCTTCATGTACCAATCTCTGCTTTGTTATATGCAAATATACAATGTACTAGTCATTAATAGTAGACCTGTTGTTTAACTGTTCTAATTTTTCCACATCTGTCTGCTTTAGACTGGCTGATGTGTGTCGTCGTGGCTCTGGTTTCAGCTGGTGCTGCATCTTCAGCTCCTCCAGCATCCACACAGAGTCTCACAGATGCAGCAGAGGAAGCTCAGGATCAGGAAGCTGTTCTCTGCAGTTCCTCTGCCATTCCTGCTCACCCTCTACAAATCATTGAAAGCATTTATCTACACTGACTCTAACAATGCAAAGCCACGACTGCTGGCATTCAGATAAGTGTAATGCCACTGGCCACCTGTTCACTGAAACCAGGGGTGGCGCTCAATGTCATCTAAACTGGGCCGATCTGCTGGCGCTGCACTGAGACACCAGCGAATCAGCTGACGGCACTCTGTTCCACACAACACAGCCTTCAGAACCACAAAAGCACAAACTTCTGCTCGCTCACCACATCATCTTCATCTCTTACCTGTCGACAGCTTCCTCGGGAAGTGCAGTCTGCTTTTGGACGTGACCGTCCGTGTGCCTCTGAAGGGGAAACAGTCGCACAGGATGTTGTAGAGAGTCACGCCGATGGACCAGACTGTCAGTGGAGAGGCATGATAGCGATGATGCCGAAACCACTCAGGAGGAGCAAAAGCAGGAGTGCCTGAGAGACACAAGAAGAGCACAAACACACACTCTAAAGGCTCCAATAAACACAAACTCCCTTTGGAGGATCACAAGTTCACAAACATCCTCAGAGCGTTTCCTTCAGTCACACAAACCAACCTGCAAAGTATCTGTAGGCCGAGTCCTTCATCAGATCTCCACAGCCGAAGTCCAGCAGCTTGATGTCATGTGAGTCTGTGGAGATCAGCAGGTTCTCTGGCTTGATGTCCCGGTGCAGGACGCGGCGCCTCTGGCAGTGTTTCAGCGCCGCGATCAGCTGCACCAGCACTTTCTTGGCCAGAGGCTCGTCCAGACAGCCGTTCTCCTCACAGAAACTCTGGAGATCTTGGCAAGGAGCTGGACGCTCTAGGATCAGGACGTAGCGTCTGCGATGGTCAAACCAGTCCAGCAGCTGCAGGACACTGGGGCAGACAGGAGGTGAAGAGACGCGGGTCATCAACGCCACCTCCAGCGGCAGACGACCCTGACCATCCTGCAGGACAAATGCTCCATTACATCCAGGACTGAATCAAACACAACAGATTAACGCTCAACTTACAACTTTCAGTCTGGTGTGCGTCCGCTCTTTAGACACATACTTGATGGCCACCTGTAGACAGATAAAGCACAGTAAATCAGCCCTGCCTGATCGGGACACGAGACATTTACTGACATCAACATTTCTAAAGCCTGTCTGAATGAAGAAGTGAAGGAAAAGTCTTACTGGCAGTCCATCAGACCTGCGGATCCCAGCAAACACAGAGCCGAATCCGCCTCGTCCCAGCAACGGGCCCTTGGCATACTGGTCTGCAACACAGAAGAGCAGCAGAAATGTGTTGAAGAGAAAACATGAGCTGAGTCTCTTTAATGACCAATCATTTCACAACTGAGCCTCCACTATAAGCCTGTGCTGACCTCTGCGAGAGCGTTTGGCAGGTCTCCTAGACGAGGTGGACGCCGTTTGCTGCTTCCTCTTCCTGTTACTCTGATCTGTGGACACTGAATCGGCCAACAGGGAAGACAGAGGTGCCAAATAACCAGGAAGCCCACCAGAAGCGTCCCGTGTCTCTGTGTCCTGAACTGCTGTCTGGGTGAAAGCTGCACTCCTGGATCTGGAGCGGCCTGAAGATGAAATATCACAGACAGCAAACACTGATTATTGATTATTAATAAAACATCACTCACTGTCAGTGGTCACACTGCATTATTGCAATCATTACAACTGATTCAAGGAACAAAATAATTTATTAATAAATCTGTTTGTTTTTTCATTAAATAAAACAACATTTATTAGTTAGCAGGGGATATTTTAAGATTAAATGGCTTGATTTACACAATCTTCTTCATATTCATTTATTTAAACACTGTAAAACACAACATAAACATAGCAATAATAAACAAATGTCAAATGAAGAACACTCACTTCCTCTTTCAGCCATTTGCGCCATGAAGACCGTCCTGCAAAACTCCACCACAAGAGAAAATACAAACAAGAGAAAATATAATGACAAATTAATAAAAGACAACTGAAATGTCAAACAAACAAGTAGAAAAAAAGGCACAAACTAAAACAGAAATGACAAAAGAGCAATAAAATAAGCGTCTTAACAAGTAATCTGAACGATTAAAATAATTATGTATTCTTTTCAAAGAAAATATCCTTCGATATCCTTCGATGTCGTCCTGGAAAGAAACTCTCAGAAATCCTCAGGGCTTCTTGAAGAATCAGTTTCAGCACAAAAGTCTCTGCAAGTCCCTAAATTCGCCTCATCTCTCAACCAAGATCTTCAGCGCTTTCAGTGTTTATATATCTAGTCATATAATAACACGCTTTACTATAGCAACTCAAATGTAAAAAATCTGGACTGCTGGACTTCGGCTGTGGAGATCTGATGAAGGACTCGGCCTACAGATACTTTGCAGGTTGGTTTGTGTGACTGAAGGAAACGCTCTGAGGATGTTTGTGAACTTGTGATCCTCCAAAGGGAGTTTGTGTTTATTGGAGCCTTTAGAGTGTGTGTTTGTGCTCTTCTTGTGTCTCTCAGGCACTCCTGCTTTTGCTCCTCCTGAGTGGTTTCGGCATCATCGCTATCATGCCTCTCCACTGACAGTCTGGTCCATCGGCGTGACTCTCTACAACATCCTGTGCGACTGTTTCCCCTTCAGAGGCACACGGACGGTCACGTCCAAAAGCAGACTGCACTTCCCGAGGAAGCTGTCGACAGGTAAGAGATGAAGATGATGTGGTGAGCGAGCAGAAGTTTGTGCTTTTGTGGTTCTGAAGGCTGTGTTGTGTGGAACAGAGTGCCGTCAGCTGATTCGCTGGTGTCTCAGTGCAGCGCCAGCAGATCGGCCCAGTTTAGATGACATTGAGCGCCACCCCTGGTTGCAGTGAACAGGTGGCCAGTGGCATTACACTTATCTGAATGCCAGCAGTCGTGGCTTTGCATTGTTAGAGTCAGTGTAGATAAATGCTTTCAATGATTTGTAGAGGGTGAGCAGGAATGGCAGAGGAACTGCAGAGAACAGCTTCCTGATCCTGAGCTTCCTCTGCTGCATCTGTGAGACTCTGTGTGGATGCTGGAGGAGCTGAAGATGCAGCACCAGCTGAAACCAGAGCCACGACGACACACATCAGCCAGTCTAAAGCAGACAGATGTGGAAAAATTAGAACAGTTAGACAACAGGTCTACTATTAATGACTAGTACATTGTATATTTGCATATAACAAAGCAGAGATTGGTACATGAAGACTTATAAATATCATGCATTTCTAACATGTCATCAAAGTACAGAACACAAATAAACATTCTTTACATATTTGATGTGGTTTTGTTAGTGATTTAATAATTCATCACAGACAAAGCAGAATCACAGTGAAGAGATTCATCTCAAAGTTATTTCTACAAAAAAGTCAAATAAAGCACTTATTCAGTTTCTCATAAAAAAACATTTAACATTCAGTTAAACTAAGAACTGTGACCAGTGAAACTGTGACCATTGAAATATTTGTTTATATTTTCCAAAACAACTAAACACAGAGTTCTGGGATCAGAAAAATAATAATCTGCCTAGTTAACCTAATTAACCTAGTTAAGCCGTTAAATGTCACTTTAAGCTGTATAGAAGTGTCTTGAAAAAATGTGTTGAAAAAATATTCTCTCTGTTAAACAGAAATTGGGGGAAAAAATAAGCAAGGGGGCTAATAATTCAGGGGGGCTAATAATTCTGAATTTAACTGTAAATCTATAGTAGGGCTGTTGCTAAAGGTGCATTTGAAATTAATGCTTTAATAATTATTTTATTAATCAAAATATATCACAATGATCATTTTAGTTATGTTGTCGAAATCTATTATTTACTCCCTGCCTGATTTTTTTTCTCAAACCAATTTCTCCTGCTAGCTTTATTTCCAATTTAGCTGTTTGATGAACTCGCTGTTTATATGATTAATATTTTTGGCTCGTACCCATACCGTACCACTGAGTGAAAACAGGCCATTATTGTGCTTCTGTGTCTCTTAAATGCACACAAAACACATGAATGAACTTTTGTGGGGTAAATTATGCTTAATACCACGGACATTCCTGGGTCTATGTAGTTTGTTCAAAACAGGTTTTGTTGTGGAAAGTTGCGCTGGATCTCGACAAACATCTTCTAAGTTTCAAAAAAGAGGCTGAGGTCTTCGAAGTTCTCAAGTTGAAGCAGTTTATTGTTACAGCAGAGTTGGTCGATCGATCTCTCTCCTACCAATCTTCAAAAACTCACAGTTTATATACAGTTTTTTCCCATAGTCATCATGACATGTCGCGCAATTTCCCGGCTCCAATAGTATCCTAGCTTTTTAATGAATGGCTGTATGTTTTTCTGTTTTTACATATCTTAAGGTCATATAGCATGTGCTTACAATCATGTGTTTGCACATGATCATGTTGTTTCCATACTTTTCTAAATAATTCTCCTTATGTATGCTATTTTGGCGAGGGTTGTTTTATTGTTGTCAATTATAAGGCCCTGCATGTCCATGTGTTTTCCTCTGCATCACTTGAATGTATTTCTATATGTTTTAACAGTGTATTTCTATATTTTAATAGTGGCAGATTATTTAGTGATTACATAATAAAAGTTCCTCTATATGCATCAGAAATTCTCCTATAGTTTAAGAAGTAAACACTACTGTGTAAACCGCAGTGTAATGGATGGTTTACAATAAAAATAAAAAAAGTTGTTTTTTACATGTAATATTTGGCTTAAAGAATTGACTTTTACTTTACATTTAGAGCAAATAAAGTAGGTAATGTTTGAAAAGAAAACTTGAGCAATTTGACAAAATCTGTTACCTTGACAAAACTATGAATCATTTTTAAGTATTTTTGTTTATCATACTTTGTAGTTTAAACAGCTCCTTTTAAACAAGTCTTTTGAGAGATAGATTGTGTTGTTGTTGGGTTTAGTTTTATTTATTTTATTTCTTTGTTTGCATATGTAATATTTTATGCAACAGTCAAGTTGCATGTTAATTTGCTATGTAAAGAAATAAAAATAATTTATTTTTGGCATACTGATTTATGTGAAATTGTAAATATAAGTCCATATACAAGTCACCTTGAATATAAGTCACCTTGCAGTTTTGAAATTATTGCTTTTTTGCTTTGATTAGGCTATTTTAAGATCAGTTTAAATTTAAATTTTTTTTTTAAATAAAATCATATACATTTTAAAATATTTTTATTTATCTCCTATATACTGGTTATTGGTAGGCCCACACGGAATCTGCGCGCGCAGAATTCAGCAGATTTTCTGCAGATTTTCCACAAATTTATAGCCCATCATTAATTCTGTTTATTTATGGAGTAAATGTGTGTAAATCTATATTTTTTCAGTTTTTAAATTAAAAAAGTTATATTATTGACTAATGTGAAAATGTTCATCTGATTTATGTACAGTGCAGTTTGTAAAGTAATATTTTCTGTCTTTTAGTAGATATATTATATGAGAGACTTGCTTTATTTATCAAATAAAGTGAATCTAATTGGATTTGCTTTTTAAACATTAAATAAAACATTTTTTTTTTAAATTTCACATATTAAAGTTTCAGTTATGATACTCCCAGGCCCGGCGCCAGGAAGTTAAAACTGAGGGGGCACTTTAAATCCGTAGGGGGGCACTAGACCTGGTGACTGATTTTGGTCTCTTGTTTCTTTCATTTAGGCTATTTATTCACATTTATTATTACTTTGCATTACTGCCTAAGTTACTGACCTAAGGCAGTAATATAGGCTATGTTTCAATAGTAATAACAATATGTAGTTTCGCCATTACGAATTTTATTAACGATAGTAATGCATACTGCTTTTTAATGCAGACAGATGATGGCTTCAGTGCCAAACATGCTTTAAATCATATGTTATTCTCCTTATTTCCGTTTTATTTCAAATAACAGGCCTATGAATGTTTAAAGTTTTAGGTAAAGACGTCAAATTATGCCCACACATGCAAGCTGACCCACGATCAGACTATTCATTTACCCGGTAAATAAATATAGTGAAATCAGCTTAACTGAGTCATCACGCTTCACGTAGCCTATTTCCCAACCAACATCATAGTTAGGGAAAAGCTAAATGTTACAATCCAATGTCATTTAAAACAATTACTTACATTTTAATGCATTAGTGTAGCCAGAAAAAATGCCTAAAAAAGATACCAAAATTCACATGTTTTTGCCGTGAAAATTGGTTACATTTTGGCACGGATAACACGCAACTCAATATGCTATGTAACTTTTTTTTAATAATTTTAAATGTAAAAAAAAAAATTATCTTAGGCTATCATAAGTGTGTTTTTTTCGTGATATTGTAAACCATCATAAACCATTAGGTTATTAGGCCTACCCGTCATTTATTTATTAATTATTTTATTTATTAAGCCTTTTTTAATAGCTTGTTTTCAGGTTATTTTCATTTTAGGGCCATGAGCTACAAGTCAAAACAAACTCGATGTGTTGTATTTTAGCTCTTAAAATAGATCTACAATATATTTTATGTTGTTTAAATTTGCATGAGCTAATTGCAGTATAGCCTAAATGACATATTTTTAAAAGATTATCATTCTGCCTACCTGCAGCACGTGAGAGGTTTCTCGGTTGATCCGCGGTAATTCCACTTAAGCACTATACCTATTCCATTTATAACACTACAAACTTGACTTAATAAATTCAAAAGGCATTTATTATGTGTTATACCTTGACTGCTGCTGCATAATGGGATGTTTCACAACTAAAGTGCGCTTTTAGCAAAATGAACGCAAACATTCAAAGGGTTCTGCGTTTTGTCAATTTTTGCTTAATTGTAATAATATTAATAATAATATTGATAAAATAAATTAAAATATTATTTATTGTGTAGCCTACTGTGGGACTGTGCAGTAAACTATTTATTTTTATTAAAACATTTTTATTAGGCTACATCTTCCCGAACTAATAAATGACTGGCAGTTTCTGCTAAAATTAATTTAACAGCAAATTTCTTATGTTTTTTTTTTTCCTTTTAGAGCTCAAGAGAGTTGTGTTTAAATAATTAGTTAACCAAAACATGTAATGAATTAAGCTGCTCCTATCATGATGTCCCCCACTTTTCTCCCTTGTGAGTTGAGTGCGCCTCCATCGCTGTGTGCGCCTTTTAAAGGCTATTTACGGGTGCACCTGACTTGACGCAGGGATCGGATCTCTGAACTATAGGACTAGCTTTAATCTCACCATTTTCATAATTCAATTGCTATGTCATTTATATTAAAATAATTAAATGTGTGTTCTTAAGGTTGGAATGACGGGGGTGTTAATAATTAATGACAGAAAGAATTTTCAGTTTGAGTGAACAATCCTTTATAAAAACTGGAGGGCACAAACTCTTTCTGAGGGGGCAATGCCCCCCTTTGCCCCCCCGTAGCGTTGGGCCTAGATACTCCCAAAGTAATTCTGCAGATATCCACAGATTTTGAACAAAATACTCTGCAGAAATAGCAAAAAACATACGCAGAATCCATCTGGCCCTAGTTTTCGGCTTCCAAATCTTTAGAGTTATCAGTTATCGAGATCGGCCAACAAATCCACATCAGTGCATCCCTAGTATATTGATAAACTTATTCCTAAACCTTTGTCTTCAATTAAAACTTATTAGACAAAAAAAATGTTTACCATTTTTAAAAACAGAAGGTGAACTAAATTAATCTTGTTGAGTTTTTTCACTAAATTATTCACAAATTGGTTGGCAGATATTTTTCTGTACACACCACATAGACAGTTAATAGCCATTCAGATGCTTTATTAATTATTTCAATTATTGATCATTATTTCAAATATATGATCATAATATAAAATAAATAGGAGTATTTTGTTTTTATCCATTCTTTCTCCAACAGGTGTTCCTCCTCAGAATGCCCAATGCATCAGGCATCTAAAGATCACACGAAGAAAGCTCCAGATGTACCTGCACATCAGGACAGGGCTTGTGAATTTGTGGAGTGTCCTATGAGAGCTGCCAATGGGACAAAACCCACACTGTCTGACATCAATCCAGCCAACATGGTATTTCCTAGATGTTTAGACGCATGCAATGTCTGTACCTTTTTTCCTGTGCTCTACAGATGCCTCCACCTAACCAGCAGCCTTCAGCTGATCAGCCCTTTCCCCTGTCAGTTGTAAGAGAGGAATCCACCATTCCCCGTGCTGGAGCTGAGCGGAACTGGGTTTATCCCTCAGAGCAGATGTTCTGGAATGCCATGCTGAGGAAAGGGTAACTTTTCGGGAAACTGCAGTCTGTAAATTAAGAATCTTTGTTGCCATCTCTGATTGATACCTGTATTGCAGTTAAATGTGGAACGATCGCCTTTAAGGGAATTTTGTAACAGCTAGGGATGCACCGATACCAATTTTGGAACCGATCCAATCCCAAAACCAAAATTCTGACTATGGACTGATACAGATCCGATCCTGATACTGTGCCTTTTTTTTAAGCATAATATACTGTAGTTTCTATAGCTCCGGTGCTAAACTCAAATAATATACCTTTTTTAGTAAAAATAACAGACCTATAAGCCTACTGTATATGACAGACGGCACAATCTAACTAAAACATGATGCTTGCTGTAAACTAGGCTACATTATTTGAGCATTGATTATGACATTGATATGATCTGCTGTGGTCCAGCTCATGTTTCAGTTTTTAATATTAAGATTTAAAAAAAAAAAAAAAACTGTAATAGGCTACCACTATTGTCCCTATTTGTTGGTAAAATAATCAGCCTTTTAGCAAAGCCTGATATTTTCCTGCAGGTTTGAAGAAGACTAAACTAAACTGTCTGAGGCCAGTTTTACTATATAAACATTCCCTCGCCTAAACTTGCCATGAGTGAGATGCAGAAAATGAAAGCACATCAGCACAGAGGAAAAATCAGATGTTCAAGACATCATTTTAAAAATAATGACGTATATTATACATGTAGCAGATACAACAATTAAAGTAGAACATTAATTAAATCCTTATTTTCCATGGAGTAAACTAAATCATCCATCCACACTGTTGTGTTTATCTATTTTTGTATGAAAAAATGTTTTTTTGTCTGAAAAATTATCTTTTTGGACTGAATTTTGTTTTGTATTATTTTAATTAATGTAGTTTGTATCTTAATTTATTTAAATGTATTTTTTGTTGATCAGTTATCTACAAAATAAACAAGAAGATTTGAGGTGAAGCTCAAAACAAGGTCCGCTTCAGCGCCAAAACACAAACTGGTCTGTTAAATAGAATATTAATATAAATAATATTACAATGAAATGAGAGTAACCTATATTAGGCTAAATCATTTTCTGTTTATGTCGATATTGCAATTGCACTTTTATTAATTTAATCAACTACTCTGACCACAATGAGCCAGGCTTTACAAACTATTTGCAGCACTTAAAGTATTCCCCTCTGAAGAATAAACTCAGTCAGAAGGATGAGAGAACAGAAAATTATTGTGAGAATAATTTTACAGAGCGGTGCACCTTGCGTCTACGCAGCTGGTGTGTAAATGAAGAGCTTGATGCATCACTGAGGCACATTGTGTAGCCCTCGGGGATCTGCGGACACTTTAAAAACTTAGTAGCACAAAGGGAAGAAATCAGTGGGTTGAGGATCTGTCCAATGTATTATTGAGCCTTTTCTAATTCAAAATTTCCTACTTTGTGTGTGAAGAGCAGGTAATACCCCTCTCTACATTAGTGTTGCGAATGCGATCTGCTGGTCTAAAAGACACAGTGCAACATGATTTAGAAACAGCAATTAACTCCTTGTTGCAGGTAAAAATGAAACCATTTAATGCAAAAGTGAATTATTTCTCCATTGGTTATCTATATAACAGGAACAAATAGTCTTGGAGAGTTTTTTCGTTTTCTCATAAGCCAACGCGACACGCAGTTTGAATTGCAAATTAATGGAGAATGATTAACAGGCGCAACAGAGGCAAGCGTTGAACTGAATATGATTTCAACCACTTGAATATTCATCTGTACTTCACATTAAACTGTAGAGTGGCTTCAGAACATTTGGGATATAGTAGGCCTACATGACAACTTTTTAGTGACTTGGAATAGGCTACCTTAATGGCTTATATATTACATAGTATATAGCACAGGGACAAGATTGGATTTTGATCGGTACCAGCTGGCCGATACCCGATCCTGCCAACTAATGCGCTATTGAAACATATTCCATTCTAGATCCGGGATCTGTGCATTTCAAGTAACAGCACAGCTCCTCATGAATCTCATGCTTTGAGGAGTTTGATCATTGGAAGTAGTCATGAGTCATTCTTGAACGATTCCTTCATTTTGAAAGAATCTTTTATGTGACTTGAGTCCTCTCAGAGAATGATCCATTTATTGCTCATACGCACATTTGTGTGGATGGGGTAGGAAATGACTTCCTTTTTCGAGTCTTCTAATGATTTAAGCCATTTTATCAAGACGTGAAAGACATACAGTATAAGCCAAACATATGTAGTCAGAGCCAGAAAAAGATTTGATTCGTTCATTCCTCAGGTTTGAATCATCTCTTTACATGTTTTCACACGATAAATAAATGACTCAAAGACCCCGAAGACTCAAAAGGGGAACTAATCATGGGTCCTTTCGGCTCAGACTGTGTTGGTTAAGTTTATTTAGTACCGTCAGTGTCACGTGAACGAATATCTTAAATTTAAAGACATGTCAGAAGAGCTAATCACAAGCTAAACAATAAATTATCATTGTCTCTTCTTATAGCATTCTAGTTGTGACTTGTTTATAGTGTGATCAATATTTGGGTTAGTTGTAGCTATAATAATAATAATAATACATTTTATTTTATTTCTTAAAATTGAAGCGCTACAAGATATACAATAACAAATACAAATGCAGAGAATTACAAGCTTGCATAAGATCCCAAGCGACAATCCAGAAGTCACACCCTAGTAATAAAACAATAAGTAACATGTTACAAATTGCACAAAAGTGACAGTGATGATCACAAATTAAATGCTTTGCTTAAAATAAGCTTCTTAAAACAATCTAGAAAAATGGCAATCCTGATAATTATGGATAATGCATTCCATAATGTAGGTGCACAGTAAGAAAAAGCCCTAATTTCCATAGATTTTAATCTACAGCACTGCTGAAACAAAGTGAGTCGACATGCAGAACTTAGACAGCGAGTAGAAGTAGAAACATGTGTTTGGAAGGAACTCATTCATTTATTTTATTTTCGGCTTGGTGCCTTTATTAATCAGGGGTCTCCATCCATGCTCTTTTTTGCCCTTCCAGCTGCAATCCATCATTGGGAAACAGCCATAGACACTCATTCACACTTATACACTATATGGACAATTTAGCCTACCCAATTCACTTTTACTATGTAAACACGTGTTTTTGGACTTGTGCAGGAAACCAGAGCACCCAGATGAAACTAACGCAGGGAGAACATGCAAACTCCACACAGAAATGCCAACTGACTCAGCCGAGGCTCAGTCCAGCAACCTTCTTGCTGTGAGGCGATTGTGCTACGCACTGCACCACCGTGCTGCCGTAGGCAACTCGTAACATTTTAATAATATTTTGCCAAATTAAATAAAATTAATGTAAAGGCACATAAAAAGAATCAGTAAAGAAAAAAAAGAGTCAGTAAAATGATCTGAACGTCCCATCATTAATTGTAAGATAGGCAGTGCTAACAAAATGGAGGAAAGTTGACAAAAGTGAAACATGCACTGACAACCCCACCTGAATGACATTCCATGTGACCAGAAGTAAAGAAAATTAAGGAAATTTAATAAATAGTATATGATAAAATATTATGGAGGCAAATACATTTTTTACAAAACAAATTAATTAAGCCGTACTTTATACATATACAAATAAAAAGTTTGTTTTCATTTCATAAAGATTTTAAGGGGACAAAACAATGTGTGACAGAAACTAGATGCAGCAGCAGAGATCTTTTTATTATACTTTCCTGAATGTACATGCACTCTAACATGCATCTAAAAATTATTGAATGATGTTGTACTTTTTTTTATTATTATTAATTCCTTATAAGTACATACAGAAAAAAATAACCATTCATACAAACATCTTAATCAACTAGGAAGTCCAGATAGCAGCATCCACAAAAAATAAATAAAAACAAATTAATATAAATAAATAAGAAAATACCTTACCAATAGCAAGTTTCTCAAATAATAAATCTACTAAAAGACATAAATATTACTGTACAAACTGTATTGTACATAAATCATATGAATATTTTCATGTTAGTCAAGAATATAACTAAAATTAATTAAAAACTGAATAAATATAAATTTACACACATGTACATAATTAAATAAACAGAATCAATGATAGGCTATAAATCTGCGATAATCTGCTCGACCATTTAAAATCTGCATTTATGAATGAAATAATTTGCCATCATAACAATATTGTTAACCAAAACTTTCAGATCAGAATTCTAAAAGATAAATAATTTATAGACTTAAAATCAAAATCAGGTATTTCATATTCTAATCGTAACCAAACAGAAATGTCATCCCTTAAGTTTTTTCAAAAATTTGCATGAATAAAATGATGTTGTAAATTAGAGTAACATTTACCAAGTTCATTGCTCATGACTGAAACTTTCACCAGATGGCGCTGGAACAAAGGTGACATAAACCAGAACGATATGGGGGACATCATCAAGATTCACAATCAGAATAATGAACAAGCCTGGCAAGAAATCCTGAGATGGGAGAAACTCCATTCAAAGTAAGTGAGGTGTTTAAATGGGGTGTTTGATTTGTGTAGTTTTTTTTTTTTTTTTTTTTGTTTTTTGCTTTTTTGAGTTGACTTTTTGGCGAGGCAGTGGCGCAGTAGGTAGTGCTGTCGCCTCACAGCAAGAAGGTTGTTGGGTTGCTGGTTTGAACCTCGGCTCAGTTGGCGTTTCTGCGTGGAGTTTGCATGTTCTCCCTGCCTTCGCATGGGTTTTCTCCAGGTGCTTCGGTTTCCCCCACAGTCCAAAGACATGTGGTACAGGTGAATTGGGTAGGCTAAATTGTCCGTAGTGTGTGTGTTAATGTGTGTGTGAATGTTACCCAGAGATGGGTTGCGGCTGGAAGGGCATCCGCTGCGTAAAAAGTTGTTGGATAAGTTGGCGGTTCATTCTGCTGTGGTGACCCCGAATTAATAAAGGGACTAAGCCGACAAGAAAATGAATGAATGAGTCGACTTCTTTACTAGGAGTTGATGAAATCGACTATGTGACTGGATCTAGATTGTTGTGAAACAGGGTCTGGCAAAATAACACATTTTTGTCATTAGTACACAAATTTTGACTTGAAAACAATTTAACATGACTGCCAGGGCTGCGTTTCCCAAAAGCATCATATGTCTAAGTAGATTATAAAACTGATCATGTAACATGAAAATGATCTTAATATTATGGTTGTACTGTCATTTAGTATCCAAATAACAATTTGTTTTAATGAAACAGTTTATAAAAATTGTGGTTAATTACTGCATATTTAACTTCTCTTAGAAGCAGGGCCGGATTAACCAATGGGCCTTATGCTACGGCGCTGACGCATAGCCCTTCGCCGTGGCTGTCGGTGTCGCTGACGTGCACCTCTTAAAAAATGTAACTACACGTCGTAATGATGCGTAGCGCAAGCTCTGTGATTGGTCGGCTTGGTAGCGCTGACGAGTCTGGGCGGGACCAAGAGCCGTGTGAATGGTGCGAGCCTGATGGAGCGATTGTTTACAAGTGTGGAGTTCCATGAAGGAGCTCCGGATGGAAAGTTTTGTTTTGTGTTTACCTTAGTTAAAGTTGTTGCTTGCCCGCCGGTTCCTGCCTAAAAATAAGCGACTTTAAGCCACTTGTACACTCAGGAAGTGTTCAGGAAATTTATCATCAACCTGGTTCGAATCAACCATCTGCTGAACTCGTGCTACTTTTTTTTTCTCCATTACAGATTAGAAATATATTTATTTAAACATTTTTAAAAAAATAATGCAAATGTGATATAAAGTCAAAAGTGCCTCGTGGGTATTTAATAATGTTTAGCCTTAATAAAGGTGCCTCTCTCTCTGTAAAAACTATATTGCTCAGACAACGTATTTCCTCTGAGCAAACAAAAGCGCTATCACATATAACTAATATTATTATATTTAAATTGTCTTTCTTTCTTTAACTAAACAGAAAGCTGTAATTGGTTAAGCGTCAGTTTTGAAACAATCCGCACTCAACTGAGCGGACTGTAGTGTAACGTTAGTATTTGTCATAAATCAAAAATGAGTGGACAAGTGGACTTAGCAAACGCGAGAGAAAGAGAAGAGGAGGCATCTTTATTGAGGCATTTTCCATACACAACTTCTTCAAACAGACCTATGATCAGGAGAATAAGGGTATAGAAGAAGACATTATGGTAACGTTAGATGAGTAAGCTAGCACAGAGAGAGAGAGAGAGAGAGAGAGGTCCCGAAGACCGGAGAGGAGAAGAGGTATAGTGTGAGTGATTTCGGATACTTTTAGGTTTATAATCAAATTGTTTTGTGAACTTGAACAAGTATACTAAAAAACATTAATTTTCACTAGTTTTATTTGTATTTTTATTCAATGCTTTGAAAAATAATTTAAATCTTTGTAGACTATAAATTTATATGTATATACTATTTATTTAAATATGTGGGCAACAAATTATAGATTCATTTTAATTAAAAATTATTAGATTATTTTTATTTTTTTAATTCAACTATAGGGGTGCGGCCAGATAGGGGGCCTTACAAGATAATGTGCCCAGGGGCCCCTGAGTTCTTAATCCGGGCCTGGTCACAGCTCTACATTGATACCAAGTGTGTTAATTGGCAAAATCTTGAAAAAGCACAGAAGATGAAAAATTGGATCAGTAAGTAAGCAAAGAAACAAACTTTTAGCCCTGGTGACAAAGTTTTGGTGTTTTTACCAGTGTCTGGTGGGTCGTTGCAAGTTCGTTATAAGGGTCCTTACGAGATCAAAAAGAAACTGTCCGACCATCCATATGCATGATCGTCACAAAAGTTTGAGAGTTTGTCCTGTAAATATGAATAAACCCTTGTAGGGGATCAACCTACGTTTTAATATCGATCAGGGATTAATTAGCTCATTTCAATGAATCGGATCCTGAAGATTCGAATTATTGATTTGACTCAAATGAGTCAGATTGAATCAGATCAAAAGATTCACACTTTATCTACCATTTGTCCCGCAAATAGAAGACATCGTATCTTACCAATCTTGTTTATATTATTTACGTGGCCAACGATCATAACATAACACAGTATTGGGTTAACTTTTAGCAAGGTAACAAGATCTACAGCTCGAGGCAATGACTTAGAAGCACATAAACAAGAACACAGTTCTTACAAAGTGAGTACAAAGATTTATTGAGCTACACTACGATACATGAAACTAACTACGTAATAAGCAAACAACAAACAAACGCACACACACATTCACACATACACACAGAGGTAGTTCAGAGGATGCAATATGAGTTGACAACGTCCCAAATTAATTCTAATACTTCTTGCAAGATCTTAGAATAACACCTGAGAAACCACAAAAGCAGAGATATGGCTTATCTTTAACTGCTTAAGATCAATCTGCACAAGATCAGCAAGAGACAACATTAGTTTGTGTTACTTGCGCCCTTTTTGCTGAAGTCGAATCTCCCTCGCCGGCTGGCCTTGGGGAAACACGGTGCTCCTGATTGGGTAGTTTCTCGCTTCGATGACGTCTATGGGATTCACACGCTCGTGAATGGCTGTTGTCCTGGGTTACCTAGGCGACGGACTGCTGAGAGTCGGTTTTGCGGAAGTTCGTGCAGTTTCGTGAGTCCCGAAACTTAAGAGGTTTGCGTGGAAGTTCGTGGTGACCCAATCGCGTGGCGGTGCGGTGTCTGGGTAGGCGAAAGGGGGCAGAGAGCAAAAGCATGCGCAAGCTAGCTGATGCAAAAAGCAAAGTTTCTTTGTTGCAGGGCGTTTTTAAGTGACCTGGTCTGGTTCGTCCCCATGGCACTGTCTGCCAATAAGCAGTTGCCATGAAGGGCAGGGCCACGCCCCGTACTGACATAGGAAAGGTCATTAATTAACAGACTGCATGTAGATTTCACGTGGTAGAACTCTTGCAAGATTGAAACTATCTTACATCAAACGTTACAAGATGAATACTATTTGTACTACTAGTTTTTCATTTACACCAACGTATTGCAAATGTCACTAGCTTTCGTTCAATACCAGACATCATACATTTCAGACACATACAGATTATTTTACTCTGTTATAAGGGTTAAAACAACACATTGATTAACCTAGTTGATTGGAATAAACAGCATATGAGGAACATTATGGCATATTATTCAAAGATACATCTGCCTTAGTTCTAACATTAAGAGATTAGCTTTTATTCATATGCATTAATGTTTCTAGAGATCTCTTTGTCTCTATGAAATGGTGCTTCTAGCAGGATGTGCCCAAGGCGAGCACATGACCAGGAGTCAATTAAAAGTCTCGTGAAATGGTTTCTGCTGAAGATCCTGTAAGGGCCATTGTTTTTAATTTAACTGATTTAATTAATCATTGGCTAGTTAGCCGAAGGGTACCAGAACATCTGCATAGAAGTACTGGTCAGAGGAGCCCGAAATCAATTGGCGCTCTGTTATCCTGATGGTATAAGCCCTCAAGCTAGTTCAATGAATGAGACCATTGGAGATGCCCAAGATTTCAGATTCAACTTGTGTTGACCACTGAAAAATGCCGATGAGTTCCTACAGTCCCCCTTTGTCTGGTGATGTTCCCGGTGTGAACATTGGCAGGCACTGGAACAAACAGGCAGAAGCAGAGAGAACAGGCAACACAAGACACGAACAACATCATCACTAACTGAATCTTGGTGCAGGGTTTAGGCACTTTGGAATGCTCGGGTTAGCAATGCTTAAGGTGTAGAAGAGCATAGTTTAGTATGATCAGAATTTAGGCTTTTAAGACTAACCGAGGTATTGAAGGTTCAACGAAGTTGTATAGGCATTATTTCAATCTGTAAAGAATTAAATTTTTGGTCAGCGTTATCGCATCTAAGCATGCGCAAGATGTGGGGCGTGCACATTTGAACAACTTTTGGATGGCCTTTACTCGCTTGTGGAGGAAGAGGGCAAGTGTCAAAGTCAACGTATACCCTACAATGCTATTTTGACGAGAGTCAAACCAATAAATTTCATTCTTTACCCTCAATCCCTTTTTCGGTTCTGGATTGAAGATGAAGAAATGTGGTAAACAAATCTTTTGAGTTTTCGCCTAAAACGTGTCGTCAGACAGGATCACACCTTTAAGGCATTGATCCGTGAGGCTTGGTGAAAGGAGTCAATCCTAATTCTGAGCTCTGGACTTAAACATCATCTGTGGGGGTTCCCTGATGAGGCAAGAGAAATCAATTAAAAGACAGAGAGAAAGAGAAAGAAAAGAACAGTGAGACATAAGGACATTGAGTGAGGTTAACACAACAAACAAGTGTCACATATGTAATAGCTCCTCTCTACTAGAGATTGGTCCTAGTAGTGCAGTGGAGGGGAGAGTGCATGTATTGGGTTTAGGAAACATAGCTAGGGCTAGGTGTCTTCCTAAAATGGCACAAATGGCAAAAACAGTTTAGCGTTAAAAAAAGAGTTTAGGATAGTGGGTCTGTGTCAGCAGGTTGGTTCCTCCCCCTTTCTGGTCACTTGGAGTTGAGGGACTGGAGTTGGCATGGCACAGGTAGGATTTGGATT